CGGAGGTGGGATTGATGCGGGAGGAATTGGTGGAGAAACTGGAGCAGGTGTATTGGAAAGCGACGGTGGTGGGGATGAAGCTGGTGGCATAGAGTTGGTTGGAAGAGTTGGACTTGCAGGTGGTGGAAAACTAGTTGGAGGAGGAGGAGGTTGCGAGGCGCAGGCGGTGTTGATGTTGGAGGATGAACGGATGTTGTCAGAACATTTTTGTTAAGTTCGATAGTTTCGCACAAATAATCATAATTTTTCATGGAAAACAAAGCCGATCAAACACCAAAAGTTGGAAAATCTCAACATTTTTTAGGTGGAAAATTATACCAATCAAACGCAACTAATTAACAATTCCCTGCAAAACATTTTTTAGACAATTATTTTCCCTAAAATTCATTTTCTTTCCACCCATTTTCCACAATTACAATCAAACCCTTAAAACGCTAGATTTTGTTTACAAGTTACAAACAGAACTACTTAGAAACTATTCATAGAATATTTTGACTATCTGGCATGTATTGTTTGAATTAGATAATTATAATCAATTTTTTTTAATTTTCTAGGTTTTAGAGTTTACAGAATGGGAACACATTGGTCCTGGTTGCTTGTCAAAAGAATGGGATTGCTATAGACATGAAAAATTGACGCGTATATACGAGGGTAGATTGAGAATTGTTGGTGAGTTAGAGCGGTCGTTGACCGTCAAAGGCTGCAAAAACGAAATCGTTTATTAATATTTAATTAAATAATATTCAAAAATTCTTTAATCAATATATAAATGCAATAAAACGTAAAAATCATATACATATAAAAATATAATCCAATACACATAGATCATTTATCATTTACCAAAAAAAAAAAAGATAGATCATTTGAGAAAATATAATCCAATACAACCAAAATTAATAAGAAAAAAAGTCAAATTAAACTTAATTTTAAACTATCATCAATTTCCAATACCATATTATCATTTACCACAAATAAAAAATTCCCCAATTTATTATTTATCACAAATTTTCATAAATCATAAATCATCACAATTTACACTCTAAATCATTAATCAAATTGTCAATACATATTAATTAGCACTTCAAGGCTAAGTTCTAAACTAAAATGGCATCAAAATGAACTAAAAAAAAAAAAGAGGCGACGGTCAGAGATGGCAGCCAGTTGGCAGTGGCAGTCTATCGAGCGTCGGCAACAGCAAGTCACAAGCATCAGTTGAACCACGAAAGCGTAAATCCCTTTTTATACAAATTGTAATTGTGAAAACGGAACAATGAATAAAAAAAATTCAGTAAAAGGGTGAATTATCCAGCATAGAATATGATCTATAACACACACGCACGCACGACACCCTATTGAAAAAAGTACAGCAAATATAGAGTTTCAAAACAAATTCTAAATCAAGAGCCTCAAATAACCACCAGCAAAACCGTGACAAAAATTAGAAACAGTAGCAAAATTCAATTTGTATTCAAAATCGAGACTTTCAATTGGGCAAACGTTGGCGCCAACATAGCAATCTGAGGTCAAGCAGTTGCGTTACTGTGTCGGGGCTGCGGGAGGGAGCTTAGAATCCATGATAGGGTTGCTGGCGGTTTGGTTTGCTATCTGTATTACACTTAAGGGGAAATGTTTTAACCTCAGCGGGCTCATGAACTATGGTAATGGGTCTAATGTTAAAAAGGACCAAATTAACAAAAGGCCCACAATTTTTTTTATAAAAAAAATGGCCCAACAACTCATCATCCCCATGAATTCATCACTGCAACCAACGACTTTGCGAGTCTGCATCCAAGTTTCAACCTATAAATTTCGGCGGAGCCAGCACGGGCGACACTCAACATCCTCGGATGCTAGTTGTGCCACTGCGTATACATTCTTTGTATGATAGAATATTTAATTTATGTTTTTTTTTTCGGTAACATCATGAGCTTTGATGAGATTGACTTGTTTTATTTGGACATGGTACGTTCGGACTCTTTTGGATTAAAAAGAAAAAGAAAAAAGGAATAAAATAGATTCAAGTTAGTTTTCATGCACAACTGTGAAGAATCTCACAACAGAGCTTCAAATCCAGTGCGACGCTCTTCACATCATAACAGTATAACCGTATCTAGGATTACGACACCTGTTAAGTAAGTCAACAAAAACCAAAAAAGAAAAATACGTGGCAAGATCTTGTGGCTCACTTCATCGATACAAAAACACATCTCCTACTAAATCATTTCTACCGTTTCACAGCTATAACTGCATCATCCAGTGCCTGTAATGTTTGAAACTTAACACAACTACGTGTAGAGAGAGAGAGAGAGGTGCCAGTCTCTCGCTCTGCAATTTTATGGAAATGCTTTGCTTTTTCTCACTCTAGAAGCACAAAACCCTATATTGTGAAGATTGTTATTTGAAAATATTCTCAAAGATCTTGCATTCCGAATTTTTGTTAGTTTAAACTTATACCGCTGCACACAATCATCAATCTGGTATCCAAGAAAAACAATCCCAATCCTTTTTCCAGCTAGGGTTTCACCACTTTGATCGGTCCCAAAGGTATAATCCTTCTCTGTGATATATGCATGTAAACCTGCACGAATATTACTTTTACTAGGTTAATTTTCTGCTTTTTCTGAAAGAAAAATGGCTTCTTGGGAAGTAAGAACAGTTTTTTTGTGAAAGTTTCTTCGATAATTTACTAGGGTTTCATCAAGATACTATTCGTCTATTTCTGCAGAAATTTCTTCTTTCTTGTTTTCTGGAATATCGAAACTCTTCATTTTTAATTGTTTTTTTTCTTTGAATCATAAATTGGAGTGTGATGTTCTTGAAATTCTTTTTTTCGTTTTGGATTGTCAGCTTTTAAGTTGACTTCTACTGTTACTTATGTTTACACTTTTTGGATCAGAGTTTTCACTTTATGTTTACACTGTTTTCTATATTTTCAAAGAGTCGTGAATTATCAGGTTTATATGCCTGTTTTGACTTCTTGAAAATATCGTGGCAAATCTTCTGTTCTTCAGCCGCTATACGTATACTGCTTTACTATACATAGAAATTCTTCACTTTTCAGACATTTTTCTCATTCTTCAGGAAACCCTAATATTTTCATAATTTGATTTTTATTTTTGATTCTCATCTTCACAGATTATACTTATGGAAACTTATTACAGAAAAAGATCCATAAAAGCCCATCAATCATGTAACCCTAATACGGTGTGTTTCTCTCTTTCTCTCTCTATCTTCTCTCTCCAAAAACCTGTCACTGTCAATACCTGCCGCATGGTTTGTTTTGCATCAAAATCCCTTTTTCTGTTATTTCTGTGTGTGAGAGAGGTGTGTGTACTGTGTGTTTCTGTGCTGTAGCCACTACAAACAAATCCCAAATCTTCATATTAACTATTATGCTTGCAAATCCGCATGAATGATCGATACATATATATAAACACATGCACACACGATATAGACATAATCACAGAAATCTGTATAATAGTGCTGAGTGTTGACGCTGACAGAAGGGTATTATGGTGCAGCACACTCCTGTTTTCAGCCGACACAACAGTGTACCATCTCCGCCCTCACCCGACCCATGTACTCTCCTCAGCCAGAAAGGTATTAGACACATATTACTCCAGTTACAATTACCAAAAAATACAAGTTTCAAAAGAACAATAGAAGAGCAAATTAAGGGCTGGGTTTGGAATTTTTCTTGTTGGAAAAATGTTCGCTGAATATCGCTCACTGTTTTTGAATCCAGAGCAAGCAGCTGAAGACGGAGTCGAAACCCATAATCAGAAACATGTTGATGTGGGTTTTCTTTATGAAATCGATCATGTCCATTTACCTCTGAGGACACCTGTTCATCTCAGCTCCATCCGTGTTGCCATGGTAATAAAAAACCTAATACATATTTGCATCTATTTCTTGGTTTTCAAAATCGTATGTTAAGGTGCTATCGTTTTTGTATTTTATATAATGACCATGTGGATTGTGTTGAATATTTTTAGGTTTGTGAGAAAACCGATTTGAACATTGCTGTAAGGTATCCCAGCAAGGACTCTTTGAGGGCATTTTTCAGCTACAGCACAAGGGAAACTCATCCAGCTTTGGATGAGAAGTTTGTAATGGAAACTGCACTAGCTGCAAAGGTGCTTCATCGGAAGGTCCCAGCTGAGGAATATTCAGATCAGAAGCATTTAGAGAGCTTTTGGGCGATAAATTCTTCTGCCGTGAACTCTCTGAAAAATGATTCCAGTTTTACAGAGAACGTAGGTCCTTGTTTATCTGACTTAGAATGCAAGTTTATGGTCCGGTGGGGTACCCGGAGACAAGTGAAATATCTGGGTAGGCACAAGGAGACTGCTGGTAATAGTAATCACACTCACAACTCTTCATCCAGCTTTGTAAATGAAGTTGGTGATGATGAGAAAGAAATATCTGTAGAAGAACAAGAAAATGAAGCTGATGGTGATGGTGATGGTGATGAGATTAATGATGTTAATGGTGATAATAAAGAATATGTGAAAGAAGAAATTGAGGAAAATGAAGAAGAAAATGGAGATGATGAGGAAGATGAGTATACTGATGAAACTGAAAAGAATTTGAAGAGGAAGGGGTATACAATGAGAAATAGAAATGTTAAAGAAGGGAAGAAAGGAAAAGTTGAGATCAAGAAGCAAACCCAAAAGCAGAAGAAAAATCCGTCTAAGAAAAGTAAATACAAAAGCAGTTTTAGGGAAGCACTTATTCTCAGAAATCCCAAAGATCGTTGGTCCTCTGAGAGGTAAGAGCTAAGTGTTGATAGCATTAGTTTGTTTTGTGATTGATTCTTAGAATTTGGTAGTGCAAACTTAATTGAATATGTGAAATTATATTGAATGAAGGTACAAGCTTGCGGAGAATAATCTTTTGGAAGTGATGAAGGCAAAGGGGGCAACGGCTGACGTGCCTATAATGCGGCCACAACTGAGGGCGGAAGCACGGAAGAAGATAGGGGATACTGGGCTACTGGATCACCTCCTGAAGCACATGGCCGGAAAGCTTGCGCCGGGTGGGAAAGAGAGGTTTAGAAGGCGGCACAATGCAGACGGAGCAATGGAGTATTGGTTAGAGAGTGCTGATCTTGTTAACATTCGGAAGGATGCTGGGGTAACTGACCCTTATTGGGTGCCACCACCTGGTTGGAAGCTTGGTGATTCTCCAACTCAGGACCCCATTTGTGCTAGA